GATTAGCAGTAATTACTTCCTCCAAGCAGAAATCTTTCAATAACAACATGGAGTGATCAGTATAGTCTTTTTCAACACGATTTCAATAAAGCATAAGCGTATGCACAGAATGGACCAGATGCGACTCTGGGGAAGAAAAATGTGTTTAAGATGAAAATAGCAGCAGAGACCAAGGTGCTATGAAGGCAGGAATGCTTCGTCTAGATGATGTCCTTCAATTGTGTGTATAAATGTAGTAGAACTGCAAGCTTAGCACTGCAACAGTCAGCATTCAACCTATAGTCTTCCTTGTGGTAGAGAAGAGAGGAATTGGTTGTGATGAATATAATGCTGATTCTTTGTTAAGGTTGCAGGAGTCTGACTAATAGCCACTTCTTTTTAATGTCACAACATAGGATCTAGCTAATTCCTGACCTGGAATTCTCAGTCATGGCAAGGACTGCTAACTATACTGCAAACCAAGTTGCATCTCTGGGGCTGTATTCAAACTTCTATCCTCCATCATTCAAGGAGTCTCATTCCACCTTCAAACCATAACTGCACTTGCTAATCACTCTTGTATATACCTGCACAGGGTCTGAATTTGGCAGTATGTAAACCACATTTCTGTTGATGTTGAAATACCCGAGTCCAAGGGCTAACAAGAGTGATTATTTCGCATTGGATTATTCAAGACTGTACTTGTCACACCTCACAAATACGGTCAAACAGTATGAAATAGGAAATCTAGCTAGGGCATTAGGAGCAGTATGACATTGTGAACCTTGAAATATGAGAGACTAGCACAGATTTTTGTTCCAACAGCTGTCTCCTCACCTTTCAGTGCTTCAATATTAGATAAATAGGATACTTTTAAACAGTGGATTATGTGGTTTGACATGACAGGTATGTGTGGCAACATTATGCTGTCGGGTTTGCAGTACTGTGTGGTACACATGTAAATGAAGAGAAAAGCATGGTGTGCCTATGATTTTTGACTCATGATTCATACCACAGATGCTACAACCCTTTTTCACACTTAGATGAAACTATTTCCATTCTCTTGTGCTTACTTACACATGGTGGTGTAATTGGTCCAACTCCCAAGCCAGCATAGCTCCATTAGTACTGTCCCCTACCACTTCCCCTGCTTTTAACTACACTGAGACACTCTAGCCTCTGTCCAGCCCCAGGATCAGGGATATGCAACTTCTCCCCTCCTGAACTGAGCCCATCTGCTATTAAGTGGTGTTGAGGATTGAGGTCACTGTAGGCTATTCACTAGTTTGAGAACCTGAAGTCCACCAGCATACGTCTCAGTTTCACACACCATCCTCAACTGCTAGATTTTGCATTTGCTTTCTGATTTAACTGATGTGTATATAAAATCTCTTTCTAATCACATGGCTCTCTACGGCCCACCCTGCAGATACTCTGTGTGGAGGACTTCTGCTGCCATCAGAGGTTTTTCATATGGAATACGCAACAGAGTGCATGAGATCAGAGATGTTTGGTCTGATCAGTAAATCTAGTCCAGCGGTTCTCAAACTGTGGGTTGGGACCCCAAAGTGGGTTGTGATCCTGTTTTAATGGGGTCACCAGGGCTGGCTTAGACTTACTGGGGCTTGGGGCCAAAGCCCAAGCCCGAGGGCTTCAGCCCTGGGCAGCAGTGCTCAGGTTACGGGTCCCCTGCCTGGGGCTGAAGCCTTTGGGCTTCAGCTTTGGCCCCCCCAGCCTGGGGAGGTGGGGCTTTGGCTTTGCCTCCCACCCCCAGGTGGCAGGGCTTAGGCAGGCTCAGACTTGTCCCCCATTCTGGGGTCCTGTAGTAATTTTTGTTGTCTGAAAGGGGTCATGGTGCAATGAAGTTTGAGAAACCCTGATCTAGTCTACCTTTTGATACATCTACTTTTAGTTTGTATATTTCCCCTTGGCAGGTCAGATTGTTGGTTCCACTGCATTCAGTTCAAAGGTCAGAATATATGACCAATGTGACCCCCAAATCTCTCAGCAGGGTTTGGCTTGGCTGGCTACATATTTGACTATTGATTTTGTATATGGAGGATTCCATTTTGGTTTTATTTTGTATATTGTTTGGGATTGTCAGTCCCCAAAAATAAATATTTATGAAGGTTTTTTTTTTTTAAATAAGAGACACCTGACAGGCCTGATATTATTTTGTAGGAAACTCACTGGCCTGCCAGCCAAACAAATGCTCTGACGTAATGATTTGTGATGTACAGCCTACAAATCTGCAATCTCCACAGGGTGAAGGAAAAGATTCTTTGTGCTGTAAGAATTTGTAAAACTTGATATTAAAGAATTACAAATATTATCCTCTTTGGTATTGCTGCGACATAGGGACTTAAATATTCAAACGTGGCCAGTGATTTGGGGTATCTCCGTTTTTGGGCCGCAAGCATTTCCATGCTCCACATTGAGATTTCTTAGAGAAACTGCAACTTTTAGAGTGGTCATTTTAATTTTAGTTCCTGAAGTGTTGGCTGTGGTTTTGTTTTTTTAACTAGGACAAGCTTTGATTTGTTTTGTTCTAACTTTGAGATACCTTAATGGGGGTTGATTTTCAGAAAATGCTGAGCACCTATCTGGCTCTTAAAAATCACGCCCCTGTAAAGTGCTGAGCTGGGATCCAGACAAATCACCAGTTGCTTTGGAAAATTTAGGGTAGAGCGATGACTGGCTTATACATAGTGAGGTGTTCAATGGGCCCTCAGGATCCCTTATTAAAATTGCACCTATAGCTAGACAGGATGTTCGGGTGACTTATTCCTTATACTTATTCCTCCATCCCTTATTCCGATGGAGGCACTCCCTCTCTGGATACTGCTGAGTCATCCCTGGCAGAGATTACAGTCTAGATTTTTATATGGCTGCTATCACTGTGTTATCTGAGCATGTGACAGTCTCACACACACTTCATTTCAAATTACTCAAGCGGAACACTCTGCCTATCAGCACTATGCGCTGCATATTTTCCATAAACAAACATACAGCTGAGTCTCATCTTACACGGGGGTTCCGTTCCACGGTTAGCGCGTAAAGCGAAAACCGCGTATAGCCAAAACCCCATTGAGTTCAATGGTGGGCGGAATTGCCCGCACTACAGGTACACTATTAAAATTGCTATTTTTCTCTTCTTTTTTTTTTTGGTTTTGTTTTGTTTTTGACGATCGCGTAAAGCTGAAATCGCGCATATTAAATGCGCGTAAGATGTGACAGACCTGAACACGTTTCCAGCAAAGGGTATTAATGTATGTTTGGTTGACAAGCAGTGCGGCCTTGCCTCACCATTGGACATGAGAGTATAGTTGTTTAAATGGGAACATAAACACGCCCATAAGTGGTATATCATAAGTCAAGAGAAAAAAAAATTGATGGGAGCCCTCCCCCTTAAGTTTCATTCTTGGATATCTTCCTGATACCTGGAAGTTACCTGCTAACAAGGCAGCCTGGGGCCAACATGCAGCTTTGGTCACTAAAAAAATAATCCTGCATAAATGGAAAAGTCAATCCCCACCAAATACTGATGCCTAGCTCAGTATTATGGCTGACCCAGATGCAGGGGTGGCTCTGTGTCTTTTGCCGCCCCAAGCACGGCAGTCAGGCGGCCTTCAGCGGCATGCCTGCGGGCAGTCCGCGGTCACACGGATATGGCGGTGTTTCTTCAGGTGATCTGCCAGTCCCACGGCTTCGGCGTACCCGCCGCCAAATTGCTGCTGAAACTGCGGGACCGGCGGACCTCCCGTAGGCACGCCGCCAAAGGCCCCCCCACGGCTTGCCGCCCCAGGCACTTGCTTGCTGTTCTGGTTCCTGGAGCCGCCCCTGCCCAGATGGGCTCTCCACAGAAAGAGAATGCCTGAAACATTCAAAGCAATCTGAACTGACTTTTGAGAGATCTATAATGAATGTAGACCCTGAAGATAGATGTGTTACTTCCCCTTCCCTCCCTTTGTCCTAACTGTCTTCATTTACTTTGGATATTATGATGAATCTGGTAGTTTGGTTATTGTATCTGGACAAATTAATAAAAATGATAATAAACAAATAAATATATAAAAATATCTGGTGGGGTGACCTGCTGGCGTGTGACAAGGTAAGGCCCATTTCTAATACAGACACGGAGAAATCTTTGAGGAATGGCATCAGAAATAAGTGGTGATGGTGGGAGGGAGGCAGTTTGTGGGGAAAGCAGTCTGCCTGGTGAGGAGGATCTGTTTGGGGATGGAAAGGTGGGGAAGGGGATTGGAATCCTTGGGTATGGGAGAGCTCCTCCATTTGCCTGTCCCTGCTGCCTAAAGGGTTTGCTGTCACAGATTGGTCATTATTTCTTCTCACTTGCCCCAGACTTCTTTGAGCTCCCCCAGACAGGGATCTATCTGTTCTCACCAGGTGGTTGGATTACCCGGGCTCTCAATACCCATATCAGGCAGGTTTCACTTGATCTAAGAGCTTCCCAATCCAATGGGTGCTAGTGTGTGGGTACAGGCATGTTCATGCATGCTTATTCTGTCTTCTCTAGGGAAGCCAGCACATCAGCAGAGAGAGGAACAGGCAAGTCCAGGAAGCAGAACATAAATCAGGAGGAACGGAAGCCGATGCTATCTCATGAGCCTGCTTCTCAGTCCTGCGGGTGGGGGCTTTGCGGAGTTGTAGCCGGGAGGAAGGAGGCAAGTGTCTTTTTGTCTCTTGGTGCAGTAGTGGAGGGGAGGTTTGGAGAGTAGCGGTGTCTGAAAGTTAGCTGACAGCAAATGAAGGGCAGTTGTGTTTACTAGCTGGAGGATCAAAGGTTTTACCTGGGCAGGGTGTGTGCCGTGGCACTGCAGCTGCAGAAACACTGGGCTAGTGGTGCAGGAAAGGAGAGGGGGCCGGAGAGTTTAAGGCAGGTACTGAGAGACTGGCAGTTGCCCGAGTGCATTAGAAAGTTGGGGGTGGGGAAGGCTCCGACGAGGGGTGTGTAGGGCGGGGGAGGGGGCAAGCGGAGCAGCTAGAGGAGAGCCAGAGGCCGCTGCTGAGAAGTTGCTGGCGGAGAGGGAGGAGCTGCAGAGTTTCCAGAGCGGCGCGGCTCGGCTGCCTCCCAGGGGGAGGGCGCTGAGCGCAGGCAGGACTCACCTGGCAGGTGCAGGAGGGAGGAGGAGGAGTTACAAAGCCAGGGCAGTGCTCGTGCAGAGAGGGCCTGGAGTCAAACGGCAGCGGTAGCTGTAGTGCAGGGGGTGGGCGCGCTTTGCTGGGGAGGGTCCCTGCGCCGCTGGCTTCCTTCCAGCCGGGCCTCCGCAGCGCTCCAGGACAGCGGGCTGCTGAGCCCGCAGCTTGGCGGCTCTCCTCTGCGGCGGGGGAGGCGCTGTGGGCACCGAGCCCAGCGCCAGGGCAGCAGCCCCTCTGCGCTAGCCCGAGCGCGGGCAGGTGCGATGCGAGCCCTGCTGTGCCCGGGGCGCTGAGCAGCGAGGGCGCGCGAGCTGCCTCCTCCTCGCCCCGGCAGGATGAGCGGAGCGGAGAGCGCTAACTTCAGGCGGATGGCGATCCGGAGGAAATCCAGCCCGACCCTGCACAGCTCGGCCCTGGTCTTTGCTGTCCCCACTGGAGGGGGCAGGTTCTGCCCACCGCCGGGAGAAGGGGCTCGGAAGGAAGCAGCAGGTAACAATCCGCGCGCGCCTCCCCTTTTCTCCCCCAGCGCTGAGCTTGGCCAGCCCTCCCGTCCGGCTCTCTTCTCCTGCCCGGGTTCTCCCTCCGCACTGACTGGCTGAGGTTTGCAATGTCTCACTGATTGCAAGCTGTGCCCTTTTATTCTGCTTGTACAGCGCCTAGCACAATAACTAATAAAAATGGAAAAACACAAGCAAAAGCCTCCTTCAGCAAATGGCAAGACTTCAAAATGGCTCTGACATTTACAAGGGCTAATGAATTCCTCCTGATGAAGCTGGAATTTTGGTCCTCAGGTCAATAATAACCTAATACAATAATATCTTCAAATGTTTCTATCATGTCATAATTAACACTGTGGGTGTTGATAACTTTTCACTCTGATTTTAGTGGTGTTTTGCTCTGTTTATGCAATAAAAGTAGATTAGGTATTTTCTCTCTGGAGGTCTCATTCATTCGCACAGGGATGTTTGTTGGCTTTTAAAATTCTCTTTGGGGTAAAAGAAGTCTTAGGTGTGTTGTTTGTTTGTTTGTTTGTTTTTTCCAAAAGTGCTTGTTTCTGCAAGAACTAATTTTTGAGATTCAAAATTGAGTTGTCTGAGCCTTTTAATCCCCAGTGTGAGAGACTTGGCAGGTCCCGGTTAGTGGGTCTGTAAGAAGTGTCTGGTTTGAAACTGAGAAAAGACTATGGAAAAAATAGCCCCATCATACTATGTAGATATGCTCCATGTGTGCATTCAGTGTTGTCTCTGACTTTTTAATGACACGTTTTTATTGGATTCTCTGTTGGCTCTGCAGAGCCAACATGGTGATAACAAAATGATTTGGGGATTCTGTTTCATCTCATGCCTCCTGAATAGGCGTATTTATTAGTTTTCCATCAGTCACACCTGTGTAGTTAAGGGATGGGGAGGGAAGTGTTACACAGGTGTCATTTAATTAAGCTCGCGTAACCTTTATTACTGGTGGTGATTTGGGGGGATGAAGGGAGCCAATTTGGCTCTGAGAGCCCAGTCTGAATGTGCTCGGCTTGCAGGTTGGAAAAATACTTGTATATTGAGCACATCTAAAATGGAAACTGTAGAAGCAGTAAACATGGGACTCCATCCTTGGTGATACTTTCACTATATCTTGTGCCTCAGAGCATTACTCCTTATAAGAAAGGAAGAAACTCACCTGTTGTGGATAAGCAACAAACTCTGTATGTTAATTTGCTGTTTGACACAAATTCAGGCTTGAAATGCCAGCTGCCACCCCCTAAACTTAAAGTACAGTGTTAAAGGGAAACTGTCAACTCAGATTTGCCTGCACATGTGAACCTCATACGAACAAACTTTTTATAAAACTCATGATCAGTGACCGTGGCTGCACTGGAATTTTAAGAAGTTGTTTATGAGCAGGTTGATATGATATGCTAGTGCTCTTGCTACTGCTACCAGAGAAGGAATTTTTTTTTAAAAAAGCCTTTAACCCTCCTTTTTGTTTACTTGAAGGATTTTGCATAGGGTTTCTGTAGTGGGAGGGGGATTTTCTTATATATATGAGAGAGAGAGAGTAGTGTAGTGTATAGGTCAGGGGTGGCCAACCTGGGCCTGAGAAGGAGCCAGAATTTACCAATGTACATTGCCAAAGAGCCACAGTAATACATCAGCAGTCCCCTCATCAGCTTCCCTGCCCAGCACCTCCCACCCACCCACCAGCAGCCCCGCCGATCAGCACCTCCCGATCAGCTGTTTCCTGGCTTGCAGGAGGCTGGGGGCGGGGGGAGGAGTGAGGGCATGGCAGGCTCAGGAGAGGGGGCGGGAAGGGGTGGAGTGGGGGCAGGGCTTGCAGCGGGGACAGGGGTCGAGCAGTGAGCACCCCCCGGCACATTGGAAAGTTGGCACCTGAAGCTCCAGCCCCAGAGTCAGTGCCTATACAAGGAACCGCATATTAACTTCTGAAGAACCGCATGTGGCTCCGGAGCCACAGGTTGGCCACCCCTGGTATAGGACTTGGGTAGTAACTCTTCTGTTCCTCCAAACAAGCAGCTAACTCTCAGTCCCAGTGGCTATAGTTTCCTTTGCACTTTCACTAACCCTCTGCAGTTACCCTCTTTCTGACTACACTCTTGGATTAGATCCCATCCTCCCCGCCGGTTGTTCCTTACACAACATACATAGTATGAAGGAAACCCATGAACACAGTAATCATGTTGACTGACTATATATGTGCAAGGCCTTGCTACGCATTCACACACCACCGCTCTGGTGGCTTCTGAAACATTAAGGACCATGAGAGCCACTAGGGGGCTCACAAACTATTTAAGAAATACTGCTTGATTCCTATACATAAAAACTTAAATTTCTTGTCCTGTTCAATGGTTATGGGGATATTTATGCTTAAAGGGGCTGTATGTTACATCTATAGTGTCCAAAGTGTGGTAGGCACTTTACAGACAAATAGTAAGGTCCCTACCAAAAGGAGCTACTCTCCACATAGACATGGAGAAGTCAAGAGATGGGGGATGGGAATCAAGAAAAACATGACTAAGTGGTGGTCAGCGTTCCTCTTGTAGTTCTGCGGGTCTTTCGTTTTCACTTAACCCACCTCTCCTCGCTGAAATGTTGTAATAAGAGGCCTTGTGTTAGAAGCAAGTTTTTACTGGGAGAAATTTGAAGTAGAAGAGGATAGAGATCAGGTGAATGAGGTCAGAAAGGGAATTGCAGGTGTAGGGAACCATACAATTGCTACTCTAACCTACTGCCTCAATCTGCACCTTAAGAGTGATGCTGTTAAGCTGAATTTATTATAACTTTTCCGTGGTGACACCGTTGCAGTCATAGGACATTGTTCACTGCAGCACTGAGTAAATGGAGAAACTAAATAGTGAGCAGGGGCTAACTTTTTTACTTGAGCAAGAACAATATCAAAAGTTTAAGGAGAGAATAATAATGCATCAAATATATAGGACTTCCTAGACATGTTACTTCCTAAATGCAGTCCACACAACATCCTTATAGTAAGTACATCTTCATTTACAGGTAGGGAAATGGAGACAGACAGGTTACATTGACATCCCCAAGGCAACAAAGGATGTTAGGCCCTATCTTGCAGTTAGCCACCTAGGCAACCACACCAATGTAAGCCCCTAGATGAAGTCTGTTCTCCCTGTGCCTGTATCACAAGACCACACCAACTAAATGAGCAGCCAGTTTGATTTCTCTTTATTATCACTTGGGAAATTTTCTTCTTTAGTTTTGCCCAGGGAAAAGTGTGATTCAGACTTGTTCCTATTCTGCAAACATAGACTTCAGCCTTCAGGCACAACGTAATGCATTGTAAAGCTGGGTGTTGGCATGATAGGAAGGGTGCCAGATCTTGTGCAGTCTATATTTCGTAAAATGCTAGCTGGACCTTGAGGAAGCCTCCCTACCTAACTGCACCCTGTCAGGTACTGTGTGCATTGAATCACAGAAATATTGAAATATTTGTCTCATGCCAGGCATTTGAAAAATGCCAGCTACTTAAGTTACTGTAAGGGGCTGGGAGAATTCTCACAACATTCATAGCATCAGAAGTACTGTATCTGGGTGTCAGACAAATAGAAAAACTACCTGTGTGCCATGGGCTTGTATGGAAGACTATGAAGAGATTAGAGCACATTTTAGACTTTTTTGTATACAGCTGGTATTTAAAAGCTCTTCATAAACTAGTAAGTTTTGTGTACGGCTAGTGAACAGACTCAGGACCTGGAGTAACCACTGAGCATTCAGTGGTTCTTGCACCGACCCAGGCATCAGAATCTGTTCATGTAGGGAACATTGTAGGTTATATCTAGTCTTTGGGAGATATATACCATAGACTCTAACGTATATTGACAGGCGGTAAGTATTCCAGTTCATTGTTGTGAATGGAAAAATAACACCTCCTCATAGTCAAGCTCTTCCCCCCACCCCACCCCTGCCCACTTAAGGATTGTACTGCACATCAGCCTTTGGTATAAGGTGAAATCCAAATGTGCTACTAACTGAGCCACAGTAACTCATAGTGATGCATTCAATGCCAATCTGATTATATTAAAACTAAACTGAAACCTGGTTTAAGTGACTACCCAAAGGACCAGTACAAATTATTTGCCTATTAGAAGTTGACATTTAATTAAAAGCTGAACAAAATTGTACTGGAAACTTAGGAGAGATTTTAAAGGGGTGGCTGCAAATTGCAGGGCGTGTGATCTGCAGCAGTGGTTCTCAACCTTTTTGGGCTCAGAAGCCATTTGTAAATGTTGATGGCCCGTCAGGACCCAGTTAACAGATCCTGAGGGTGGGGAGTCAGGTCCTGCTTCCAGTATGGTGGCAGGCCCTAGTGGGGTTTGCAGAGCCCACTCTGCACTCACCCTGCAGTGGTAGCTCCTGTGGTTCCAGTCCCACATAGCTGGCTGGTCTTGGCCCCCTGCTTTGGGTGTTGTAACCTAGTATGTGGGGTTTGCAGCATCACTCACTCAAATTTGACCCAGCTGGCCCCCTGGAGCCAAGCCCAGCCAGCCCCACCGGACTGGAGCCGTGGGACCCTTTGACACATTCTGGGGACCTAATTTTGGGTCATGGCCTATGTGTTGAGAAACCCTGGCCTGTAGAAATCTGGTTAATCCTAGATTACGAAGAGCACAGCTAAGGGTTTGTCTTCACTGCAGAGTTAACTTGAGCTAGAATTCTAGTGTTGCCCCTAACTTGAGTCCCGACCACACAACTAAACCCTTAACTTAAGTGTGGTGGTGCTTTTGATTTGAGTTGGCTGGCCTATCAGAGGATATAGGCTATGGCTCAAGTTCGCAGAACCATCCGCTTCTAATCCAGTTGCTCTGTGCAGTCTGAGTGCAATATTGCAGTGTGGCTTTTCTCAATCAAGGTAGGTAGGCTAACTCGAGAGGATTCATTTGAGGGTAGATAATGCGAGACATTGCTCAAAGCACATAGACCAGTGATTGTTTACTGTCATAAATGGTTTTTTTT